ACGATTAATTATCATAAATAATTTTCATTTTTTCCCCAAGAGCCAAGCAGCCAACCACCAAAAAGTATCAGCCGAAAACTTTAATTAGACTAAAAAATTAAGGGAACGAGGGTGAAACAGGGCATCACATATTGCACCAACATGAATTCCACAAAGGAAATTCAAAGAACAAGTAAGAAAAAATTAAAATTGAAGATTAGGTATACTGGGCAATCTCAAAAATTGATGAAAAAGTTCTGATTTAAAAAAAAAAAATCAAATTTCAAACAACCAAAATCCAATTGATATCCTTGGGTTGTCGCGGAGAGGGGGAAATTAGAGAAGGCATGAGGAGGAAGGAGAGGGGTGTGGAAGAAGAAGGAGGAAGAAGATGAAGAAGGGTTGTAGCGGGGGCATTGGAAAGCAAGATCTAAAGACTTATTCGAAGTACAGAAAGAGAATGATATGGCCGGAGAAGAAGCAGCGTCTGTGGTTAGGTTTTGTTTCGTTGTAATTCTGATGATATATAGAGTGGGTTTGTTGTCAATATATCAACACATTATGGGTAAAATAGGAAGAAAACAATATTTCACTAAAACCGAGGGAGAAGTTCCCGCAAAAGTATCAATTTGCTGCTTCTTAGTTTCTTTTAGGTTAAATGTCAATTTTGGTCCCTCAATTTAAGGTTTTATATAATTTTCATCCCTTAATTTTTTTTAGTTCTTTAACTATGAAAAATATAATTTTTAATTCTTCCGTCAGTTAGTCTGTTAAGTCTATTAAATCTACATATTTTTAGTCCATCAACTTCTAATATATGCATATTTTTTATCTTTTAACTTAAAATTTAAAAATTAAAAAAATGTAAATTTAAACAAATTTAATGGATTAATTAATAAAAAACTAAAAAAATACACTTTTCATAATTAACAAATTAAAAAAATATAAAAAAAATTTAAGAGATGAAAAGTATATAAAATTTTAAAATTAAAAGACCAAAATTAATATCTTAACTTTTCTTTTATACCAGGAGCACTAAGCGGCTTTTGAGTGCTTCACAAAAATTATTCTGAAAATAGTGTTTGATATAACTTGTACTTCTGCACTTAAGAAGAGGGGTTTTGTGGCGTACTCTCTAAGCTACACCTAGTTTACGAAAATAGGTTTTTTTACAAGCTGCACCAATCAGACACTTAATCTCCATCATGCATCAAGGAGAAAACCATACAACTAGTGGCAAAGGGAGTGGGGTGTGAGTGGGGTGCTAGTCCCCCTTAAATTTGAAAATATTTGTAAATTAGTGTATGAAAAATTATCTCGTACCTCGAAATTTAAAAATTTTATAAAATAGTATATAAGAATTATCTCGTCTCCCCTAAAAAAAAATTCTGGCTCCCCCCTGCATACAACATGGAAGACAAAATGAAGTTTTTATATAAAACATGAAATTTACATATTACGAAATGTAGGTTGCCTTTCATCAGCAACCTTAAACATGAAATCAAGAACAGATAGATAGACAAAGAAAGCAAAACATAACTCTGCACTCAGGGGCGGACATACTTGGAAGAGCATTTGTCATTTACATAGATCCCTGCCTTTGCTCGTTCTGCCTTGCCAATATTGTACTGCCCAAAAAAAAAAAAAAAAAAGAAAGAAAGAAAGAAAAAAAGAAATGGTAAGTTCAAATTTCCCTTTTTCTTTACCCTGCAAAAGCTAATGTAGCAACATATATGATGAACTAAACCAACCGAAGCAATTGAGCAAGCTGAGTGGCCTTAGCGAAATCGCCTTCTTCACGAGCCTTGAGGATCTTAAACATGAGACAGAGATTAAGTTTGCTGGCAGCGCTCTGTCGGATCATTAGATCAGTTTCATTCCTGAGTTGTGCACATTCGGCTTCAATTGCTTCCAATTTTTCTCTCACTTGTTTCTGGCCTTCTTTGATGTTTTGTTGATCCTTGCTAATCTCTTGCATCTCTGCCTTCAACCTTCGGAAGTTGGCCTTCAGATTTTTTATCGCAGCTCTTCCCTGCACACCCAATTGAACAGTTCATTAGAGCCAGCAACAGGATATTGTTCAAGGTTTCATCAAATTTTTCTTGTGCAACGTCCATGTACTAGTGTGTTTTTGACTCGCAAAAAAAGTATCAATAACATCTATAAAGTAAAATGCTCACATAGCCCCGCACAAATCATATCTAATAATGACCTCAAATATAGCACCTTTATTATAAGAAAAATTACTATTAAACTATTAGTTAATGGAGAGTAATAACAGTTAGTTATTTAGAGTAGTGCGATTGACAATGATGAAAATAAAAAGTTTGTATTAACTTTTTGAAAAGCATTCAATGCAATTAGAATCCCAGGAAAACGAGCCAACCTCGAGCTTATACATTCCTCTTTTTCTTCTATTTTTAATATGCAAAAGATTATTATACAATATAAATTATATTAAATTATAAAATATGATTCTCTTTCATACATATTCAATTTGAAGTCGGTTTGTTTATGTTTGAAACAAACTTGATTTTCAGTTTAAGCTGTAGCCAAACCAAATTGCTCAGCTTGTCAACTAAAAAATTTGTGTAAACCTAAATCATGAACTCAAAGAAAATGCAATAAATTTTTGAACTTAAAAATTTCATCCTAAGTTTAAAATTCTAAGTTTGAGCTTAAACTTAGAGCCACTTAATTAATTACCACTTTCCACAGCTAATTACTTCCCAAAATTTTTAAAAATACTTAATTCACTTTACATATTGCTAATATATATATATATATATATATATCACTTGGATTTCAATTTCGAGATAATTGTATAAATCAAAAAAATGAGGTCAGTCTGTTTTTCATGAAAAATGAATCAATTGACAATAAGTAGATTATTAGACATTGGTTCAATGATAAAGGATCCTCTCACTAGAGTGTTTGCAGTATAGATTGGATCAAATTTAATACTTTTAAAACCAAATTAATTTAATCAGTTAATAAAAATTTTAAACCAATCAAATTCACTATTATATTACAACTAAATCAATCCAATATAGATTGGATTGGTGTGGTTTAGTCGGATAAATCAGTTTTTAATCTTATTTTAAGTATATTTAATTAAGTAAAAAGTAAGAACATCAAACTATAGAAAAAATAATTATAAAGCATAATAACATCATAAACAGGAAAATAAGACTATCAATTATTAGATTAAAGTAAGAATTAAGAAAACAACAAAAAAATTAATAAGAACTAATAAGGCAATCAAAACATGTAACTCACACTGTTACGGCTCAAGAAAGTAAAGAGTTTTAAGTGTTAAGCTTTTGTTTGTGTATGAGATGATTTAGGGCTTCACTATTTTTTAATTAAATTATGTTGAACAATTATTGTAAAAAATAAAATAAAATAATGATAGCCAATACAATTATATTATATTATAACCATACAAAATATTATACTAAAGAAATAAAAAGGCATAACAAGAAATGAAAATCTAAAATACAATTTGCATAAAAAAATTCTAAAAATATATAATATTTTTATTTTACCAAAAAATTCAAAAAATATATTTACCAAAAAATACGAAAATAAAAATATTATATTATTTAATTAAGTCATTTTATAATCAAGCAATTCGTTCAATTTGAAAATAAAATTACGGACCAAATATTTATATCAGTGTTAAAATATTATAATCTAAATCAATTCAATTGATGTGAATTTAAATTGAAATTTAATCCAATTAAATCAATTTCAATCAGATCAATTACTTTGGATCAAATATGAATAGCCCTACCTCCTACCTCTCACAATAAGAAAACAAACTTCTTAGAATTAAGGAATTATGTTGTTTTTTCAGATCTATAAATTAGATTATAAATTTAATCTTTCATAAGAGTTATTACATTAATTTGATTGATAAAAATATAATTGAAACCGTCGCAACGGTGCAAATCTTCCTCTTCCACCCAAATAGTCAAAGTATTTACCTCCCTAGCAAATTTCATCAACACTTTTCCTAATTCCTTCATGCCAATTCGAAATGGAAAAAACCCTATCACGATTGTTATTATTTTCATAAAAAAAAAAAAAAAAAAAAAAAAAAAAAAAAAAAAGAGAGAAAGATTCCCTCAGCCTTTCTACCTGCGAAGATGTATTGCTTCTGCTCCTGCATTCTTTTATCATATCTGGTAAATTTGCAATACATCTGCACGGAACCGTTGCCGTAAACTCTAAAACCTTTGGCGTTCGGAAGACTATTAATAATATTTGCGAAGCGAGAAATTTCACTCTGGTGAAGTTTGCATTGTTAATATTACTATGTTCTATATTGTACATTCTGCACTGGTATAAGATTAATATCCTTTGTGCTTCAAGGACAAAACCATACAACATGGAAGACATAAATGGAGTTTTATACAAAACTTGAATTAACAAATTAAGAAATGTAGGTTTCCCTTTCATCAGCACCCTTAAACATGAAATCAAGAACAGAAAGACAAAAAATGC